GTGTTCATTTGACTTGTTATCGAAGTTATAGCGCTTAATAGGGATTCTTTGCATGATTGGAATCCTTTTTTATCTAGGTAAACGACAAAGTCATCAGCATACTGTACGAGATTGTATGTTGGGTTAACTACGTGGATATCTCTAGTATATATGTTAAACAGGACTGGTGATAAAACCGATCCCTGAGGAAGGCCTACTGATACTTCTCTAGGGCCCAGAAGTGAGTTGGTTTTGGATCTGACAAATATTGTTCTGTTTAGAAAGAGCTTTATGATAGTCCGACAAGTATTACTTGGAACCAGAATATCTTCTAACTTGTCTTTTAGCATGGACAGGTCGACGCAGTCATATGCTCCTTTGACGTCTAAAAATGCAGCTCCCAGGTATTCATTCCTTGAGAAGCAGTTTTGGATATCTGTAACTACATTCCCTACAGCATCTAAGGTACCATATCCTTTTTTGAAACCAAATTGTGACTTCGGGAATAAATTTCTTGCGTAGAGAAACCATTCTAGTCTGTACTTTATGATTCTTTCGAGAGTCTTAAGGATGCACGATAATAAGGATATTGGTCTGTATGATTCATATAGATTTGGATCTTTGCCCAGTTTGAGCACGGCCACAACAATTATTTTTGGCCAGTCTTCAATGTCTCCGTTTTCTAACCATACCTCATTGTAAAGTTCTAGTAATAGCTGCTTTGCATTCAAAGGTAGGTGCCATAACATTGAGTATGTTATGTTGTCCCAGCCAGGGGACGAATTGTTTGAGTTCTTTAGCGCATATTCAAGTTCCGTGACAGTAATGGGATGACTGAAGATATTGTCAGTCAGGGTTTCAGGATTTTGACTACGGTGAATCTCTGGAAAGAATGATGTGGTCGAAGGAGGAGCGATTTTGTCTAGGAAATTTGCTTCCCAATCCAAGTTATTGCATTTCCTATGAGTGACTTGAATTCTCTGCATTTTCTTAGCCTAAGACCAAAGCTCGGTGCTTGGGGTGTTTTTATTTAAGTTGCAACAGAATTTTTTCCAATGCGTTTTTGCTTTGCTTTTTAGTAGTCTTTTTGTGTGTGCTATTGCTCTCTTACAAGCAATGAAGTTGGCTTCGCTGGATATCTGCTTGTACTGTGCAAGGGCATTTTTCCGTTTATTAATTTCTTCATCGCATTCTCGATCCCACCAAGGAGCAGGTGTCTTATTTTGTCTTGTGAAGGGTTTATATCGAGGGATTGAGCTACGGCCGGACTCATTAATGCCTTGAATAAAAAACTGATATTTGTCATTTATATCCTGGAAATTCGGATGAGAGTTTGAGAAATAATTGTCTGCAAGTGAATGGAAATGATCCCAATTGGCTTTGTGGGTATTCCATGTGTATTCCACATCATATGCTGATTATCTTGAAAATAGTACCTATCTCAAATAGTTACATAAACACTTTAAATGTTTTAGCAAGATTTTTCAATGTCATTCAGTATGATAACATACACAATTAAAATGGAAATTTGCTAAATTTAATTTGGAGCAATGCCATTTGCTATGTTGAACATGCTGATAATGCGTTAGTGTGGTGAGGATTCCCATCATCCTGCATTGATTGTAACTGTGTCATTTTCCTCCCACCAAACATAATAACGTGTTGCATAGCGACTTTAAAGGTTCATATAATTTTAGGAAAGCTGACTTTCAGTTGCTCTATGAAATGACTGTGAATATTAGCTGGGGAGTCTTGAAAAATTTTAGTGACGTTGATTTATGAATATTTCTATTCTGAGATCTATAGAATTCTTGATTGTTGTGTTCCTAAAGTTAGAATACCTTATAATAATAGGTATCCTCCATTAGAACCCTTAAACAAAGAATGGTGGCATTCAAGACTTTCAGATGCACTGGTGATACTTATTTATAGAAAAATTTGTAAGACTTCGTTCAGAGATAAAGCAACATGTACTCGTAGCTGTTTCATATCGTCACTACATTCACTCTTTAGAGTGTGAAATATCCAACAGTTCCGGGAAATTCTGGTCTTTTGTTCATAGAAAAAGAAACTGCACCGGTATTCCGAAGGATATGCTGTTCAATGGGCTAGGGTTGAATACACCTAATGATGTATCGGTAACCAAATAAGTGCATGCGGTTGCTGTATATCGCACATTGCCATGATATTGTTTACCGATAGCGATTGTTTGTTCCCTACTGTCACTTTAGTATGAATCCTTCTTTTCTGACACACATAAAAAGTTGCTAAAAATTGTTACATACCTAGTTTTAATAATTTAAATGGCGACGAATAAAACAGTAATTCGAACTTGTTTACTGTATGAGTACAAACTTGGTACAAAAGCTGCAGCAGCGGCGCGAAAAATATGTACCACATTCGGAGATGATGCCGTTAGTGATCGAACTGCACAGGAGTGGTTAAAAAAATTTTCTTTGTCAGATCTCAGTTTGAGCGATGAACCGCGCTCAGGGAGACCAAAAATCATGAACAACGAGGATCTTCGACAGGTTGTGGACGCAAATTGCAGAACAACGTGCCAAGAACTTGCAGAAATGTTCAGTGTGAGTCCTGAAACTATTCGTTAGGAAAGACGTGGAAGTTAAGCAAATGGGTCCCACATGAACTGACAAATGACAACAAATTAAGTCGTCTTACCATTTGTTCAGCAAATATTTCACGCAACGCTAATGAACCATTTCTTAATCCGTTATTAACCTGCGACGAAAAATGGATCTTGTATTCGAATTCTAAGCGTTCGTATCATTGGTTGTCACCTATTGATTCGGTACCACACACGCCCAAGGCTTCCTTGCACCCAAACAAGGTTTTGTTGTGTGTTTGGTGGACAGCAACTGGAATTGTCCATTATGAGTTTTTTGAAAGGGGTCAAACCATCACTACTATTTTGTAGTGTGAGCAGTTTTAACGAGTACAAGCAGCACTCATCCAGAAACAGTCTCAGAAGGAAGTGATATTCTTGCAGGATAACGCCAAGCCCCATAACGCAAAAGTGACCCGAGAAAAAATTTCTGAACTCGGCTAGGAAACGTTACCACACCCGCCATATTTTCCCGACATTTCGCCCCAGGGGTTGTCACCTTTTTTTGCCTCTTGGCAACTGTATGAGGCACCGACAGTTCACAACTCGAGATGGTGTAATAAATGCAGTCCGCCAATTTTTTGACTCCAAATCCAGGGAGTTCTACAATACCGGCTAACAAACATTGGTTCCACGTTGGCAAAAGGTCATTGAATGTGATGGTAATTACTTCGACGAATAAATAATGTCTTTTTGTTTCTCAATAAAAATTTATATTTTTATACTAGAATCCGCACGGACTTATTTGGTTACCTGATAGTTGGCGCTTTTGCGGACCACTTTAGTGGGAGCTATAATACTCCAACAGCTCAATCTGTTTTTTTACTGACTACCATTTCACTACTACACTAGCTATGCCTAGTATACAGGAAATCGATGTGCTACAGGCGCTCAAGAAAATTAAGCCAAAAATGACTGCAAGTCCTGATCAAATACCTGCATTTTTTGTGCGAGATTGTGCGTCCATTTTAGCACATCCACTCATGATCATTTTCAATCTTTCTAAGAAAAATAATCACTTTCCCTCTATTTGGAAGTTGTGTAGGGTAACTCCTGTTTTTAAAAAAGGTGAGAGGAATTATGTAGAATACTATCGGGCTATCACAATTATCAGTAATTTCGCTAAAGCATTCGAAATAGTGATATAAACTGTGCTTTTCCATGTAAGCAGGTCTATCTCCGTCAGTCAACATGGTTTCATGAAGGGCAGGTCCACAGTTACTAACTTGCTACATCTTACTCAATATGTTTGTGAATCAATCGATAGACAACTTCAAACGGATGTAATATATACTGATTTCTCTAAAGCGTTTGATAGTTTAGACCATAACATCCTACTCAATAAATTATCTAGATTTGGTCTTTCAGATGCATTGTTGCTATTTTTCAGATCTTATTTATTTCATAGGAAACAGTATGTTATGTGCAATCGACATATGTCAAGCGAATACCCTGTAACGTCCGGTGTTCCTCAAGGATCTAATTTGGGACCTCTGTTATTTATTATGTTCTTAAATGATATTTCTGAAGTTATCTATGTCGATTTTCTTATATATGCTGACTATATGAAACTTTTCTGTTTCGATTGTCATCGATTGCAATGCAACATTGTAAGGGTTGACAACTGGTGTCGTGAAAACAGATTGGTTTTGAATGCTGCTAAGTGTCACATTTTGTCGTTTACTTTAAAGATGCAAAATATATTAAGATGAGAATTAACATTGAGGTGGTAGAACATACGTGGTTATATTTCAACAAATAATTTTAACTGTGATCCACCAATTTATGTCTTTATTGATAGTAATGTTTACTGATCTCGATATAACATAAAACTAGTTACTAAAGTTATTGTTTTTGAAAAGATTTTATAGACAGCATTAATTATGACCAGACTGGGTACAATATACTACTGGGTACTACTTGAAACTACTTATTAAATATCAAAAAATATTATATTTATTCAAGTTTGACATTAATAATGAATATATTCATTTGCAAAAGTCGCAAAAGTAAGCATCTTTTTCTGCATCAGAGCATGCCTCAGGAGCCCGTAATTGGCATAACAAACATTGAATCCACAGTTCCCTTCTAACATCATTTGAAATTTCATCCTGACAGAAGTTGCACTTTCCATTTCTGTCTTCGGGAATTTGACCTACTTTCTCTAAATCGTTATTTTCATCAGCTAGTACAATGTATTGAGTCACTTAGAAACCTCAGATTTTTTGTTTTCTTATCTTGTTATTTGGTTGCGTATAGGTGGAAATACGTGTATTATTCCTTTCTCTATAGCCTTTGACTGCTGTTTAGATGGTTTCTCCAGCTCTTGTTTATATGGCGACGAAGTTATAATTTGAGATTTTCCAGAATTTCGGCCTCGTGTAGTTGTTTCTTCTTCTTAATCACTGGCAAATGGACAAATAATGTTATCTCTGTTTATTGCAGGATCATTTGAACATCTGATGGGGAGATACAATGTGTTCAACCATCCTGGTTGTGGTTCTGTATCTCTTGAGCATCCTGGTTGGCAATCAGGAACATCCAAACTTCTAGTTAAAAGTTCTTTGTCGGGCTGCGAAGCTGATAAGTCAACGTCACTGTACTGAACGTCCGCTTCACAAAAACTTAACCTGTAGTTGTTTACTATATTTTCCTTTTCTTCAATGAAATCAGCATGTTTGAATATATCCCTGTTAAAAGGCCAGCCACCAGTGACTTTAAAACCATTAATAGCAATTTCAGCTGTTTGGCTGTTAACATATGCTTTGCTAAGTAGCTCTGCCAAATCAAACTGGGTTAATGGTTCTTGATTAGCTCTTCGCCAAAGACGAACTTCTTCACTATAATGTGTGTTGAAAAAATATCCATATTTGCCAGTCCATCAGTCCATAATACATCCTCTCCATTTCCAAGATATATTTTACTAACTCAGTCTCAATATTACCTCCTAAAACTGGTTTTCTTCCTAATTTTCTATTAACAACTTCAGATGATTCAATACCATTCTTGCATTGGTGCAATAGTCTCTGTAGAATGATCCTTGGAACATTTAATTGTTTAGCAGCTTTTTTCAGTCTCTTCGTTTTTTCTAAAACTGCTTGTAATGCTAATGTCACATCTTCCTTTTTCCACAGCTTTATCAGATTCCTCTTATGATATTTTCTTTTATTCCCCATGACTCTACGAACAAAAAAGCATTAATGAACTGTGGTACCAATATGGACCACTGACCATCATAGGGGCCCAAATTTCGTGAATCACATGTGGGATGCTCATGTACTAACAACAACCATTCTCAAACGTTACAGTATCAATGGATTTCGTCAGGAACATTATACTTTAAGTAACATTACACAACATGCAGTCATCAGAAAATATGATGATATGACTTACGATTAAAATTTTCGGACTGATATAAACTAACCTACTCTACCTTCCTGCGCGGCGAACACTTGTTAAATGATCGTGTGTTCTAGAATGGTACCAACATATTTAATTCGGCGGATTATCAATATTCTACCTCTAAATGATTGGAATATTTTCATATTTTTCCATGAACTGTGCAAAATTTTGTGTTCAAAGTTCAAACGAAAGATTTCAGTCAAAGCTTCGGCGCAATAAGTCCTAGCGTGACTATTACGTCTACCCTCTGTCCTTAGATTGTAAACCTACTTCTGCCATTGAGGTTAAGTTAGGCCTTCGCTCGAGCTTCGACTTGACGAATTGTTTGAATTTATACTAAGTGACATATAAATCCGAACACCCAATTTAAATGGTTTTATTTTAATAAAAGTTGGTGAATGTATTTATCTTACTGTAAATAACAAGTGAAAAAATTTTCAGCTTTATCAGTTGGACATTCCGGTTTTTATACTGCTTTTTTTCAATTCACTAACGCTCTAAAAATGAATATTTCTGCCGCAGTAAAGAATCAACGTTGGCGGATTTTGGTTCTTGACATCCTTTACGATCGGTTACGATGCCTAGAGTACGGAGACCTGTACGACTTCGTCAACTTAGTGAGTTTGATAGGGGCCGTATAGTGGGACTTCGGGAAGCTGGACTTTCTTTCCGGGCAATTGCAGTTAGAGTGCAAAGAAGTGTAGACACTGTGGTTAGGTGTTGTCAGGCATGGCTTCGAGAAGGCCGTACGCAAAGAGCAAGGGGCACTGTACGCCGCCGTAGAACAACAGACCGTGAAGATCGCCGCCTAAGATTATTGGCCTTAAGGGACCGTTTCTCCACTACCAGGTCCATTGCAAATGAATGGTTTGCAGAACACGGAAGACCTATTGGCATGCGAAGTGTTTACCGACGAATGAGAAGTTTTGGCTTGGTTTCATACCAGCCACACTGGGTCCTCCCTTTAACTCGAGAACACCGACGTAATCGCCTTGAGTGGTGCAGACAACGGTCACTCTGGGATCTGGAATGGAACAGTATTGTCTTTAGTGACGAGTCTCGATTTTGTTTAGGCATGCACGATGGTCGTGCCAGGGTTAGAAGGCGACGTGGTGAAAGGAGGAATCCACAGTTTTTTGTTGAAAGACATGTTCATCACACTGTTGGAGTTATGGTTTGGGGTGCTATAGCTTATGGTTCCAGGTCACCTTTAATCTTCATCAGAGGTAACATGAACGCGGAGCGTTATATCCACGAAGTTCTAGAACCCCATCTTTTACCCTACCTTGACACCCTGGCAGATCCAACTTTCCAACAAGATAATGCCCGACCACATGTTGCAAGAGTCACAATAGACTTCTTTCAACATAATGATGTCACATTGTTACCATGGCCACCAAGATCTCCCGACTTATCCCCAATTGAGCACGTGTGGGATACGATGGGTAGCAGATTGCTCAATTTGCAACGTCCTCCTCAGACTCTAGAAGCACTTCGAGAGGAGTTGGTGGTTGCCTGGAATGAGATACCACAGGAGGACATTGACCACCTGATCAGAAGCATGCCTAGCCGCGTTGGAGAATGCGTAGCACATCAGGGTGCATCCACACATTATTAAAGGTCAAAGGGCTTTAAAGCAGTGCAATCATTTTGAAATTTTGATCATTTACTTATTATGATTCATTAAGTACTTATACAAAATTTTATTAAAATAAAACCATTTAAACTGGGTGTTCGGATTTATATGTCACTTAGTATATTTGATACTGGAACTCTAATAATAAGCACTTCGTGGTATAGTGCAGTTAATTTATTTATTTTATCCACGACCAAGCGGAAAAGTGTATATTACTTCAAGCCTCGATTAGAACACTTGACCTTAGAGAAATGATATACTCCACTTAGTGCCACCTCCTTTTTGAGAACATAAAGAACGAAGGCAAAATCCACCTCGGCAGCCCCATTTCGAAGGGTGGTTTTTAGGATCAACTGGGGCACCGGCTGTAGCGTCATACCGGGACGCGTGGCAGATTTATGCAGTCTCTTCTTACGCGCCCCCTAGCGGTGGATGCAGGTGTAAGTTACTTCCACGGCCGCCTGCAAATAAAATATGAAATATGCCGCCGCGCTGTCCCGGCACGCTTGATTTACGACACGGCGTTATGGATGTTAGACCGCGTGTTGCGGCGAAGACGCCTTGACTGTTTGCTTGACTCAAATTAACTACTAGGGGGGGGGCGGGGGCGGTCTTGGATATCATATAAGAACACCAAAAGGATATGGTAAGTACGTTTCAATTACAAGCTGTCCCTTCTTAAACGCGGTAAAACAGCTCGCCACAATTTGCGCGTCATGAGCTGCAGCATGTGTCGGACACTTGCTGCGGACACATGATGAGGGAACGTTTGTTTCCGTTGCTACAAAATTCCGCAACTTATTTAAATAATGACGATCCACGACCCACTTCAAAATAGACGTGGCTATAAAGGAACAATTGCTTCTGAGAGACTCAAAATTATCTGATAGTTACTTCAAAGTAACTACTAAAACTTCGTGTCCTTCTCTTTCATCATTTTCATTTCAGAACAGTTGCTCGTACCTTTCCTTTATTATCTGCCTATCGAACTGCTAAGCTCTTGCTCCACCTCATCTAGGGCCGTCCTAATCCGCTTGATTCGTTTCCTCTGTGCCAGGTTGAGTTTGAGCGATATATTTCGTACTTTGTCTCACCATTGTCTCATAGATTCTCAAGTTTGCTTCATTTCCAGCATCTTCATTTTAACATAATGATATTCTTGATGACAATAATACTCTTATTTCCGCCTCAACAACATCACCTGAGATTTATATCTAAATATCTTAATTTAATTTTTTACTGGATAACGTTAACTCCAATCTCCTGTTTGCATCCCAATGGTCTTTTGGACGTTGTCATGCATTCAGTCTTGTGGCGCGATATCCTTGTATCGAATGACTTGCAATGCGCTCAAATCTGTGTAATAATCACTATAAATTGTCTTCATCCGCGACTACCGGTACAGCATCGCAGTCTCTATCACAAAGAAAAAACATGTAGACAGGGCTTCGTAGGGTTATTACTTAAGAAACCTATATAATGTCAAAAAACCAAAAAAATGTCAGCTTGCTGACTAGATTGCAAGTGTGCAAACACTTCATTCCGCTATTACCTATGAGCGCTGCGAGCATTACCAAAAGCGTCATCTATGAAGAAATAGCTCAATGATCACCTACAAGTCAGTTCCCACGCATGCTTTGTTGGTTACAGGATGCCTAGATAGCGTCTAGAGTATATCTCTGAGAAGATGTGGCAAAGAAAATTGTTTAAGTAGCAGAGTAGCAAGATCGCATCTGGATGATTGCGTGGTGATTGTGTGTATTGATATGCATGTGCATGAAATCAGTGATATTTGCTATATCAGAAAATATCTATTAGCTGTATTAGACAGTTTATTTGTGCTGTTATCTTTGAAGAGAGTTTACGTTCAAAATTATAAATTACGATTTTCCCCGGGCTCTTTTTTTGCATTCTCAAAAAATTTACGTGTAATTCTCACCGGGCCCGCGTTGTATGTAATTGATCCACAGAAAAATTAGAAATGGCGCATCACACACAAAAGATTTTTGCAGTGTCTCATATCTAGGGGCGTATTTTCCACTTTGTATCGCAAAGTATTTTTTTATGAAATTTAAATGTCTGGAAATGAAAGATAATCTGCAATGTAATGACTTTTTCACGTTCCATGAATATTCCTGTCTGTCTAATATTTTCTCACCTGTTGGTTGTGGTATACTTCACCAACCAAGGATTTTTTTCTTATCGTTAACAAAAGTGGGTGCGCAACAGATTTCTAGATTTGCATACATATAAATTAAGGCACACAATGCCCGTATCGTCAGTCGTCCCTACAATAATTGTAGGTTTATGGCCTCCTTGATTTCGATAATATTATGTCCTCTTCGGTAAGTTATTCTTTTGATTTCTAGTCTGCTGTCAATCAGAAGTCAATTGTGATGTTAGGTTATGTTTCTTTTTTGACGTTTAAGAAATTTTAGACATGAATCAAATACCGAAGAATATTTTCTTGCAAATAATTTTGATCATTCAATAATAATTTCCTACATTGAACAAATTCGTCAGGCTGTGGTATCTTCAAGTCCCATATCTGGTATTAATGATCTAAAATCAACAATTTAATGCAAATGGATGTATAGTCAACGCCAAACAAAGTGGCGTGCACGTCATCAAGGTGGGTGTGTTGAAAAATTTACATTGTTGCCAAACTTTTTGTAAAATAATAAAATTTATTATTTACATATCTAGGTTTATAAGCAATATTAACCTCAAATGAGAACAAAAATAATAGTATAATAAAATTATAGATCTGTACTTGCATAATCATTAAGTATGACAATTATTGATCAGATGACACTATGAAACTACCATATTTAATTGATAGCTTAAAGGTACTGAATAAAAATCCAAATGGGGTCCTCCAAATTTTATGCATGGTATTTATTTTACAGAATTCATACAGAAAAATGCATTCTAAAATTAGGTAAGCTACTGGTGTAAGCTTTTTCTGTACAATAAAGTTAGTCGGAGTTTCTTTCTTCAGCGCTGTCTGAATCTGAATCTTCATCACTCTCAAAGTTGATTATTAAAGGTTCGATGTCTGGTCGATCAAAAATTCGTTCTCTTTCATACCATTTAAAAATTTCTTGCTCAGTATGTCGAACACTAATTTTCCACATGTCTGGGGTAACCGTTTGTAGAGCCTCGGTCCACATATCCAAACAGTCTTTTTCACTGTTACCATCTCTACCAATATGTCTGTTATAGTAACCTTTTGCTATGCCCCAAATTAACTCAATAGGGTTAAATATACAATGGTAAGGAGGCAGACGAAGAACTTTGTGCCCATGTTGTTCCGCCAATTCATCAATCACGTATATTTTAGGTGGTTTGTTTCTAAAAAAGCAGTTATTTTAAGAATAGGAATAAACAAAAGAAATATAAACTGTCGACCAAAATATATATAATTAAGAAGCATTATGTACCGAGCAACAATACTCAATAGCTCTGTTTTAAACATTGCGTTTAAAAATGGTATGTTTTGATTTGTCAACCAGTCTTGGATATTTTTTTTTGTCCATGCATTGTTGGGCACTTTGTTCAATATCATACTGTGATAAGGGGCGTTATCCAGTATAATCATAGATGGACTCTCCAATTTTTCTAATAACTGATGTTGAAACCATTTCAAAAAATTGTCCTGGTTCATCTCTCCATGGTAATCGCTCAATTTTGTTTTCGAAGAAAATATCGCTTCACTACCCTCAATAAACCCATTTTCATTTCCAGCATGTAATGTAATGTATCTAAAATATATTAGTTTTAAATTTTATAGTGCAAATTGTGTAAAAGTACATACCTTTTACCATCTGTTTTAATAGCTTTCACGCTTTTTTGGTTTCCATTTTGCCAAGAGCGACCTATGGTCCCATTTTGAAATATCCAAGTTTCATCGAGGAAGACAAACTGGTATAAGGCCTCAACTTTGGCTTGATTGTATTGCCTTAGAAATTCCACCCTTTTCAAAGCTATACTTGGTAGTTCCATGAGCCCTCGTCGCGGATTGTCCTTAAGCCACTTAAATCGAAGATCTCTAAGCAACCGCCTTAAAGACGTGGCACTACCATCAAATAATGCCTTATCTCTTAATCGAGACCATAAAGTTTGTATCGTAACTTGTTCTTCTGAAACCATGTGTAATATGACATTATAATTTAGTTAACAAATTAATGCAAATTTCTGATAAGTTATTATAATAACATCTTACGTTTGTGATACATATTATAGATCACTTCTCGAATGGCACTTGTATCCAATGTCGCTGTGTTGGTTACACGTTTAATATAACTCCGCTTTTTCTTGGGCGATTCTAAATTTGCATCACTTTTCACACCCTCGGAAATACGACTAACTGTCCTTAAACTAATTTTTAAAGCAGCAGCAACACGCTACAAAAAATGAAATAAAATTTCACTATTATTAATATACATTACATATAATTATTAGTAACCTACCTCTTGAACAGCATTTAAAGGCAACAAAGGCCCGTTGTTGTCCCTTTCTTGCTCAAAGTAGTGCATTAACGAGGCCACGAGTTCCTTACACCGACTATTTAACTGTTTGGGCATCTTTATATACCAAAATTGCCTTTATCTACTCGTAAAATGAATAATTTTGTTTTGAAACAAACAGTTGTTGATTTACAGTATGCGGGGCCAAAGGATTTATAAAGATTTGAAATGCCACAAATTGATTCAGTGTCAAAATTAATACAAATGTCAGTTCCCAGTTTAAATAAGTTTCAAGGTGACAATGTGTCAACGCTGCGAAATCGGTTTAGTGCGTTTACATGTCGATAAGCGATTGGAGCGTTTGAAAAACATTTTATTTCGCATAATGCGTCTAAATTTATCAGAAAGCAACTTATGTGATATTTTAATAACAATGTTTATATGACTATTAACCATAATAAGAGAGTAATGACCATTTTACAATTTATATATCACATTAATATGAAACTGCAATAGAGCAATTGTTTGTGATAGAAACCTAGGCATTAGGTCGGGGAATTTTTATCGTGATGACATGCACGCCACTTTGTTTGGCGTTGACTACATATATATATAACTTGAGACATGGTCATTGTCGTCTAGACCAGTTAGGTGAAAAATTAAAGTTTCCGCCTTTTGTTGGGTACTTCGTCGAAGCTTTAATTTTTCACCTATATACGTATATATATATATATATATATATATATATATATATATATATCTGCCTAACAGCTTACAACCAAGCTGTTCCTTGATGAAGCTGGTAAGTTACAAAATTTTTAAACATTGCATATTCATATTTATATACTTATTGCATTTTTTTTTAGATGTGGTTCGTTCTCACAGACTTTATGAGATGTTGGATAAGAAACAGTGTATCCCAAGTGCAACTGCATTGTTGATTTCGGAGATGGCTGTTCACAAATCATTGTCAGACATTGGATTGCCTAGTGTCAGGCTACAAGTATGTATAATGTGTAAAACCTCCGAAATTGAGATTAAACATGCCCTGCCCTATCTGGTATTTTTTTATATTAGTGGGAACCTTAACCTAAAAATTTCAGACTGTAACTCTAAAAAATATCAGCCCACACCAATTTTTAATGTGTCTTGAATCTATGCATCTTTTTTGCAGATATAAACGATCGTGATATTGCATACAAAACTCCATGACTATTTTGGAAGGATAAAGAGGCGAATGATCTTCCTAAGAATGGATTCATGCATCCAGGCACTTGAAAGCATGTTTGAAGAAGCCAACCCTACTGAAACAAGTGAATTTGCTTTTTGTGACTGACATGTGTTATACTGCAAATTGTAAATTTAAGGTAGGCATAAGTTTGTTTATTCATAAAAGTTAAAAGCTATTGATTTCAAGAGAAGCTTTGTTATGCATGGGAAGGGGGTTCTCAAAAGTGTAATAGTTAATGTTGCATGTGAGGGATGAAATGTCACACGAAACTCGATAAAGTGGCTTTTTGAATATTGTAATCAACATTTCGATTTGTACAAAATCTCTCAAAGCTGAAGCCACATGTTAAATAGGAATCCAGTGATCTAGCAAAAATGCTATATGAAATACATACTTTAACACTTATGGTTATATCGGTACTTAGGAGTAAAGCACAAGAAATCACCATTACTTATGATACTTTTTTTTCAGATCTGCTTGCATTGCTCAAAGAACATCCAATCCTGATAAGCCCAGGGTACAAGATATTGTTCCAAGACAGTAACTCCAGTGTAAGGAACGTTAGAGGGAAAAAAAGAAGGTTCAATATATTTAAATTGGATATTTCAAGAAGTTTGATACCTAGAGTTAATTAACTTTCCAAAACGATCCAATGTACCACCAAACTAGACAGATTTCTTTGCTATTGATCAGATATCCTTTTAGCCTTGTTTACATGGCATGTAATTTAGAAAATAGCATATAATCTAGTTAACGTCAAGGATTAAAAATTGATGAAATCTATATTTCTAGATATTTTTGAACAAACCTATTGTATTTCTGTGGGCATACAATGTAGAAAAAGAAATTTATTTTACCAAGTATTCTTTTATTTATATTCTGCAAGTACCAACTGGAAAATATGATACATGAAATTGTTAAGGAATTCATAGATAGTATGTCAAAACACATAAGTATCAGTAATCAAATGAATGATATACTTAAGCTAGTTAACGTCAAGGATTAAAAATTGATGAAATCTATATTTCTAGATATTTTTGAATAAACCTATTGTATTTCTGTGGGCATACAATGTAGAAAAATAAATTTATTTTACCAAGTATTCTTTTATTTATATTCAGCAAGTACCAACTGGAAAATATGATACATGAAATTGTTAAGGAATTCATAGATAGTATGTCTAAACACATAAGTATCAGTAATCAACTGAAGTCCTTATATCTAAAAGGTAGAAATAATAACAGGAAATATGAACAAATATATAGTCAAAAAAACAAAACATATCCAAAATGAAAAACTACAATAGTGTATTACAATAACCTTTTATAAATTCAAATTTACTTACATACAATATATAAGATGTTTTCCTACTGAATGTCAATATTTAAGAGGGCGACTTTTCGTTTCTATTTTAAGAAGAAAACTTTATATAATTGTATGTCCTAGGACGGTCCTGACCGTCTAACTTGAAAGTACTCTGCGGATTTATATCATGTATGAAAGTTATTAGTTTGATTTATTTACTGAAAAGTTCACCCACCAATCCAACACTCACCAAGACGTCGGTCACCAAAAACCAGCAAGTAAGTGGACGTCCTTACATTACTGCAAGAGATATCGCTAAACGTAAACAAACACCGGTGCGGTACGGTCAGCCGTACTGCACCTAGATCCACGCGGAGTTCGAGCAGAGCCGCCAGGGCCGGCTCCAGAATTTCTCAACCAGTCTCGCACTAAAGCTATCAACCTGATAATAGTAGGAACAGTACAACTACTTCATCATCATACTCCAGTGCACTCCTACAGCTGCCTGTCAGCAAAACACCATAAAAAAACCAAGCGATTCTCCTAACAGCAGTAGATGAGATAAAAATCCATGATATATTATTGCAATTGGCTCGGTCGTAGGTCCCAAAAATATACTGTTCGCATCAAGAATTGCTAACGGCCGAATCTGTATGTATCTGAGTAACACTGATAGCGTGGACAAAATAATCACTGGACACAAATCCATAAAGATCCAATACCACGACATCGAAATAAGACGACATGTTACACCTGCTCAAAGGCTAGTTATGTCAAATGTCTGCCCCTCTGTGCCAAACAACATTATTGAAAGTTCACTAACAACTATGGGCCTGAAGCTACTCTCCCGCATGACTTACCTCCAAGTTGGAATGCCGGAAAATGAATACAATCATATTCTCAGTTTCCGTCGACAAGTCTATATTGCACCACCTGTAAGCGAAATCGTAGAGTCTACCACTATAACCTTTGAGGAAACGACATACAGGATATTTTTCTCCGTAGACGGACCAAGCTGTACTCTTTGCAAGCAAATGGGACATATATTGGAAAAATGCCCCAAATCACAATCCAGAAATGAAGACACCGAAACAAGAATGGAATTAGACTCATCTAATGTACATAACAAAACTAATACATTGAGCATAAACATGACTGCAACGATACAAGACAACTCTGTATCAGAAGAAACTCGACCTAAATCACAAATCTCAACATCCCTCGTATCTACTAACACCCAGCCTACATTAACTGAAGCCCCCACTAAGAGAATCAAAACATCAAAAGTTTCTGAGGAATACTATGAACTCGCCGCGGAACTCATAAACTCACGGTTTACGTCAACCAAGCTAAACGTATCAGAGGCAGCGGACATGACAGAAAATACATATACATATAAATCCAAAGATATAATTGCAACGTTTAGAAACTACACAAATAACATACCGGATATGAACCAATGTTTGGCTGAACTATACTCACATTTAAAGGATAGGAGCACAAAAGTAAAAATTACAAAAATCAGAAAAAAATTAGCGAAACATCTAGAAAACTTATCATCCAAGAACAGCGAAGAAAAGGATCTAGAATCATCCGATGGCGAAGTCTCGGGATCCTCTTTCTCAACATACTAGATATTTTCATGTTTCTAACTCAGTGGAACCTGAACGGGTACTATACCCATAAATGCTCAACTTGCTAATACGTGAAAATAATCCTTTTGTAATCTGTCTGCAAGAAACCCACCTCAAGAATGATAATCACAGTCACACACTCAAGAACTACTCTAGCTTTTACAAAAATGGCCCAAATCAGGATAGAGCAGCAGGAGGAGTAGCAATATTCACCAAAACCTCTATACTAGCAAAAAGACGTCCCATGACTACAGATCTGGAAGCTGTTGCCGTGTCGATCACACACCGCACAACCATACATATCTGCAATATATACGTATACATACCACACCCAAAAGATATAGACTTTATAGAGTATTTGCTGCTACAAATTCCCACGACCAGAATCATAGGAGGAGATTTTAATTGTCATAATATATATATATATATATATATATATATATATATTTTTACTCCAACTACCACGAAGGCCTAAAGCCTAAACACCCATTGGGTACCGTTGGGCTATAAGGGGATACAGGGGAAAGGGGGAACGCCACACGGACTCTGGCGAGGGAACACGTATGCATGCAACATGCAACACATTCTGGCTCCGCCTACGAGATCCGCCGGATGGCACCTCCGCGTTCGACAGTCAGAAACCGTCTACCACCTACGGACAATCACAACATCCATAGCCAAGAGAAAAATTTCTCCTGGGACGGGACTCGAACCCGCACAGCGCACGGCGACTGATCAGGAGACCGAAGAGTCTACTACTGCGGCCACCGCTGCTGCGGGGATTAGACTTCTCTGAAAGATACGGCATGGAGCTAGAAAACATATTTGTCAATATTGGTCTCATACAACTAAATGATCGTCGCAGCACTAGGTTCAATGCATTCAATGGGAAGTTCTCCTCCATTGATTTATCTTTCTGTGACCCTTCTTTAGCCCGTTTTCTCCACTGGAACCCCCTATCTGACCTCTATGACAGTGACCACTATCCTATAACTATTGGCCATAGTAAAGATGATGCTTCTTGTGCATCCGCTACACAAAGATGGAACTTGAATAAAGCTGATTGGGATAAATACCAACAGCAGGTTGAACATCGCTTATCATTACTTCCCACCTGTGAAGACATCAATATCGAGATCAACAGCTTGATTCACGTTATAAAAGATGCCGCTCACATTGCCATAGGAAAAACAAAAACCAGTCCCATGGTGGAATCAACAAGTCTCTAATGCAATAGCCACCTGCATTGTTTCAGTGTCCTCAAGAAACATAACACAGCCGAAAATCTGCGAAAATTTAAACAAGATAGAGCAAAATCCAGATATCATATCAAGAAAAGCAAGAAAGAATCCTGGCGAATCTATGTATCCACTACTAACTCGTCTAATCCTGCATCGCAAACCTGGAATAAAATCAAGAGCATCAGTGGATCAAAAACAAGCTACGAAATGACCTCTATAAAATACAATAACCAAGTAGTATCTGACAAATCAGCTATCCCAGAAATCTTTGCTGACGTCTACTCAGCACACTCTAGTGAAATGAACTACAGCCCTTGTTTTCTCCAGTACAAGTCACAGATTGAAGGAGATACTATCACCGTACCGAACGATAACAGTCCAATAAACAGCCTTATTGCAATAGAAGAACTGGAAGAAGCACTAAGAACATCAAGAAGTACATCTCAAGGTCTTGATGATATTCCATACTCTTTCTTGAAACACCTCCCATTGACGGCAAAATCAATCTTGATAGACATATACAATAAGATTCTAGTGACCCGACAATTCCCTGACGTCTGGAGGACAGCCATTGCTATCCCCATCCTAAAGCCAAATAAGCCTCAAGATGACCCTGCTTCGTATAGGTTGATATCGCTGACATGTTCTATGTGCAAGCTGATGGAGAAAATCCTCAATAAACGCCTGTTATGGTTTTTAGAAAAACACAAACAAATTAACAACTTACAAAATGGTTTCCAAAGCAACAGGTCTACGACAGATAACACTGTAGTACTGGAATCCACCATCAAGCAAGCATTCGCAAACAACAGTGTTATAGCTGTATTCTTCGATATAGACAAAGCTTACGACACCACCTGGCGATATCTTATCATAAAATCCGCGATTGAGATGGGAATCAAAGGGCATCTCTTAGGTTTCATACAAAACCGCACCACGAGGGTGAGAGCCAACGGTAAGATGTCCAACGAAAGAACATTTGCAAATGGAATACCGCAGGGATCCGTGTTAAGCGTCACACTTTTTTTAATAACGATCAATGATTAATTGAACTATTTAAGACACCAGTAAAGGCACTGATGTACGCAGATGACTTAGTTATATACTTACCAACGAATAACCTACCCACAGGACAAAGCATCATACAACAAGCAATCAATAAAATGAAGAGATGGGCAGCTACAACAGGTTTTCTCTTCTCCAGCGAAAAGACCAAATACCTTTAGCAAATCTAGACGCACCACTGACAATACGTACTCTCTTTGAACAGCACCAGAATTCAGAAAGTTGACAGTATAGTTTTTCTTGGGATGACACTTGATTCGAAACTGAAGCGGGATCTACATATAACAAAATTAATATCATCGTGTCAAAAACGTTTGAACCTTATTAAAGTCTTAGCAAATACCTTTTGGTGAAGTGACTTCTTATCACTTATGGGAGTATATCGCGCTATATTAAGAAGCAAAATCGACTATGGGAGTATATGTTATTCAACCGCAAGTAAAAATTCTCTAGAAAAACTTGACGTTTTACAACACAAGGCAATACGACTGGCATATGGCTTACTAAGAACTTCACCGGTGGAAAGCATCCATGTCCTAGCTAATGAGCCCCCGTTACACCTTTGAAGAGAATACCTTGCTCTACGCTATGCCGTCAAAATTTCAAGCCTACCAGACAATCGTGCTCACCACATTACTGTCAAGTGTTCTTCCAGAGGATTATACAGCAACTACAGAGACTGCCCAATATCAGAGCGTATTATTCGCACAGACTTCAACCTAAACAATCTTCAGCACACGTACTCATATTCGTTATATTCTCCCCCATGGACAATGCGCCTACCCGATATTAATACATCGCTTAACTGTTACACCAAAAGAGAAACCAATCATATAGTCATCCAAAATAAATACAGAGAAGCAATTGAACACTACAAAAACCATATGCTCATCTTTACCGACGCCTCGAAGTCGCGAAATGGAGTGGGATGTGCAGCAATTCAAGAAAACAACAAGAAAACAGCATATCTCCCTCATCACAGAAGCATATTTACCGGAGAACTAACTGCTATCAAGTTAGCCCTAAGCATCGCAACAATGAATATACTTATTCTGTCCGACTCCATGAGTGCACTGGAAGGAATCAAGCAATTATACCCGCAGCACCCTATTCTTAAATAAATAAAGCAATGTATCAACCTAATAGCGAACAAAATGAAGACAGTGAAATTCCTATGGATACCGCCTCACGTAGGAATAGACGGAAATGAAAAATCCGATCGAGCAGCAGCTACCGCGGTGACCGACGCCAATCTAGAAATAATAAACACACCACATACCGATTTGATGACTCTGGCAAAACAACACATCTGTACTATTTGGCAAAGCCAATGGAACAATAGCACCACCAAACTGCGGGAGGCTATTTCATATGTGACGGAACACCTCAGTCTACCCAGAAGAAGACGCGACCAAGTGATTATCTCCCGTTTGTTAATTGGTCATACGCTAGTGGTACATAAATTCCTGTTCAGCAACGAAGAAGCCCCAACATGCCAAACCTGCCAACTCCCAGACTGCAGACTTACCGTGAAGCATATACTCTTAGAGCGCACTGCCACGCAAGACGCACGAAACCATGCTTGCATGCCAGAATCCATAAAGGAAGCCTTCACCACGTACTACGAACGAACACTACAGTTTCTCAAAGAATCCAATACCTATAGTTTAATCTAATGTCTTATGTAGTGTACGTAACTATGTACCCTATCATTGTAACCTTGCCGTCCAGCCGCTAATAACCCTGCGTGGTTGATGCAGCTTTTGTGCTTTCTCAATAAAAAAAAATTGTAGGACTTTTGACAAACTTTTCAAAAATCAATCATTTTTTGTTACGATATGTAATATAACTTTAAATACTTTATTCAAATTCTGGATATATATACTATCAATAGGTAGTTTTAATGTACGAATTTTCTTTTGATTTCCACCAGCGACGTTCGTACCGACTTCACTTACTTATTTTGGCAGGCAATGATAGTACTCAACTGATTTCTCTTAAAATAAAAACTTTTAATTGAAATCTCGTCATTTTTAGGCAAATTTGATTGCTTAATTTTTGTTCACTCCGATGCACGGTATTCGCTTACAAAAATAAAATAACGTTTCTTTGCATGATCCTAATATCGTTAGTATGAAAATGTCACTACGTCGAGAAATAGATTGTATTTTTCAGGTGAAAACCGTGCGTCAGACTAAAATAATTCATTTTTTCATGTCCGACCCACTATTTCCACCCAAATTCTCTGCATGGTGATATTGTCATGTTAACAATATTGTTATGATCGTTTTTATAAAAACCGTTGCATCAGATTGAAAAAAATAAAAATATATAAGAGAGAAATAAACAACATACCATCACTGTCTATCAAAACAGGCAGGTAAAATTGCAAGAATGCCTCTTGACACGTTTACATGTATGCTAATTTTCATTAAGTGGGTAATACGGATATTCATAATCAAGGGTTTATTTTTTTACCTTTTTTACCACCCTGTGTTTCAAAAGTTAAAACATATAGGATATACGATCATTTGAAGTTTTCATCTTAAAATGGACCACCCCCTAGGACATTCAGTTAGGAAACAAACTAAATTGCAGTTACCAATACTTCAAGAGATAAATGCAGACTTTCGAGTCAAAGATTTCATATTTTTTTACTATGACTATCATAACTAGCAAAGTCTGCTGTTTATATGACTGTTTCAAATATCAAACCTGTTTAGTTTTTGATATTTCTTTCTCAAACAGTAATTTTTTTTCTTTCCTATGCCACAGTTTTAATAAATTTTCCCTTTTATGTTAAGATTACAAGTCAATGAACAAATTGGAAAAGAAACTGTATTTAGCTGTCCTCACTTTTTCTTCATATGCCACATTCTACAACATTAATATATGGTGCAACACATTTGATAAATACAACATATTGTTCTTTGAGGCTCAGTGCACTGATCTCCTTGTTCTTGATGATACCACTGAAGTATGCTCAGTAGCTGAAGGCTCCAATATTGATAGTGATTTAAATCAAAAATTTATACCCAGCAGTTTAAATACAAATCAAATTCTGTACCTCAGAGCCAGGTTCATTTTTGCCTAAAATGAGTCTTACATGTTAAGTTCATGATAAAGTTGGGAGTTTTAATTTGATACTTGCAACATCTATTTACCTATAATGATGAGTGAATTATGAATGCAATGAAACTATCTTGAAACTACCTATTAGGGCTTAACCCAGTCTGACTTTGAGGTAACTACAATTTTCAACATAATGGGTCTTTTCCGCCTATCTAGTTGTTTTGAATTGTTTAACAGGAATGTAATTCCCTTGATGAGTCACAATTTTCTTTTCTTTTCCAATTCGTAATTAATTGTGGAAAGTTTTTTCTGATTTTGCTTCATGCTGCAATTCTATTCTTCTGTTTACTCTCTGTAACACTTCATTTTTGGTAATCCTTCATGACCATAGCATTTTGAGCAGCCTGAAATAGCGATGACCAATAAAAGTAATTATGTTTTTCACATACACACAATATACATACGTGTGCCTGACACTCTACACAATCTAGAGTCCCACAATGATTTATGGAAACGCATCTCTGACATCGACAATGCAATAATTGCTCTTGCCATACAATGTTTCTTATCCATGGCGGAACCATCTCATAAAATCTGTGAGAATGAATCACACCTGAAAATAATGCGATAAGTATATAATATAGAAATGCAATGATTTGTTTTTAACTTACCAACCTTCATCAAACGAATAGCTTGGTTGTAAGCTTCTGGACTTTCATACACACAAATATAATATTATGATATAATATATCCATGTGCATTAATTTTCCTAACTCAATAATTTCTTGAAGATACCACAGGTTGTAGAATTTGTTCAATATAGCGAGGTATTTTTGAGTGATCAACAGTATTTGCAATAATATTATAAATTATAGTTCTGCTTTCCATTCATGTGCCTCGAACGTCAAAACAACAACATAACCTCAAGCAGAACTGTCAGTATGTCGGAAATCTAAAGCAGGACATACATGTACGTTATCGAAGAAGACGTAATAGTTTCGTTCGCGGTTCCGATTCGGGATTGATTCTGAACCACTTCGCATGCGCACTTCAAAAATCGGCGTTCGCGGTAAGAAAATTCTGAATTTTTAGTTACAGTTCTGCGTTCGCGGATCATATCGAATTGGTACAGAACTAATTCCAAATTGGTCCTGACGGTTCTCAGATTTTTGGTTCGATCCGGCTGATCATGCGGATTAGCATCGTTATGGACATTTGATATTTCATCTTCCACTGCCTCTGTTCGGGTTTAAAGTGTTTAACCTATTCTGTGAAAATCTGTCACCTGTGCTTTTTAGTGCTTGCTGTTCCATACATATGTTTTGTGTGTTCCATCTCAAATTCTTAAGATTCAGTGCTTAAGATTTTGTGCTTAAGATGTCGGACCATTTATCGTTTAGTGATGATGATTTGGAAGAACTATTGGAAGTTATTGAAGTACCGACAACACCTGGAAGCTGTCAATAGTGTCAATCGAATAGCAGCTTCGCAACAGCACAAAATAGAGGGCAAATTGGCAACAGTGTTGAATACGCAAACAGTTCCAAAGTCGTTCGCGGTAAACGAAAATCTCGAACTAGAGAATAACTGGACATGCGCATTTGTGTAATTCTGGATGGTTCAGTTTTAGTTCCGAACTGGTTCATTTTCTGACCCGCGAACGCAATTAGTATTATCGAAATGAAGGAGGCCATAAACGCGACCTACAATAGTAGGGACGACTGACGATACGGGACTAAGTACAGCCGTTTCCTTCCAGCTATAGTATATTACTAACAGCTTAGACTCCCAATAATGCCACATCCGAAGCAGGTGTGATATAATCACATCAGAGAAAAATATTGATAGCAATAGCTAGTTCTAAGTTGACATCTTGTAAGAAAACCTACGTAATGTCACTAAAAACCTATGTTATGTCAAAAAAACGACATTATGTCACTTTTCAAGTTACGTAATACCTCTGCTGGTCGTTCACCTAATTAGTTGTAAAATGTCCATAGACCATACTTCATTACATTTCAGTGATTTCGCATAAGTAAATTAATGCATCTCTGTTCTGTTGACTAGGGTTTTTCATTACTGGAAAATGCTTCCACCATATCGGAATTTCCTATCCGGTTAAAGCCGTATACTTAATTAGAAATCGATACCTTTCATCGTGCGCATACAAAAAGAAAGATGAAGTCTTTGGCAGTTGGGGGTAATATTTTCCCCTTAGCTCGGTGAATATTCGTCCGGTAATTAATTTGCTGTGTATGGGGCCCGGCATGCGGTAGTTAACTTCCTCTGCAGCTCGCGTGCCCAGCCCCGGAATACTCCGGATACAGAGCCAGGCAGTCGACCATGAGCCGTTTAATGAGAACGATAGCAAAGCGGTGGCGGTCACACTGCAGGATGCGGCCTCGGCTTTTTTTCTCATTTAGTGGCTCTTTTCTTCGCCATTTTGGGCACGGCTGCTGTCTTAATTAATGCCCCACTCCTCGTTATCTCTTAATAAAAGAGGAATAATGAGGTTGTCCTTTTTGGCCATGGACGTAGTGATTTTGAAAAACTACAATAATCCAAAGACTAGTAGCGACTAATGCATGTGAGGCTTGAATTCTCACAAAGCTCAATGAAAATAATGGGGAAACTTTACGGTCCAACAAAGGATAATGTTACAGGACAATGCCATAATAGAACAGAGGGCTGACAGAGCTGCATAAACATATAGACGTCACGAGTATTGAAATTTTAATACAGACAGATTAAGATGAGCAGCAGCAAATGCCCAAATATCAGACGGAATCATCAAAAAAGAAATGTCTAAGAAATATCGTGTGTCATAAAAAAACTTGAAACAAGTACTCTTTTAAGAAAGCTCGACTGCAGTAAAGAATGAATTTTTAAGTATGCTATCAAGACGAGTCACCTCAAAATCTATCAAGCTGTTTTGTTTCGGATTAAAATTTCTCATTTTGATTTCATAAAATTTTAATAAGGTCAGTGTCACTCGCACTGCTGGGACGAATCCAGCAACACCACATAGGTCAAAATGGGTAGCGTATCTTCACAGTTCAAAATTGCTAAACTGCAAGACTCGACAAATAAGACTAAATATGTTTTCACAAAAATATTGTTTCCACAACTACAACGATGACAACAGATGTATGAAGTTGAGATTATATGTTGGACAAGCCTATGGGGGACTGAAGCCTTTAGAGGTGATGCCAAACTTCTAACGGGTGTTTTTTTTCGAGGTATAGAACTTTAAGTTGGCATTACTTTTGAAGATGGCGACCGATTTGACAGCTGTCAAGTGATTTATTCTCAGTTTGGTTTGTCAATTCATCATAAATAGACTCACGCCTGAACAACGCTTGCAAATTGTGCAGTTTTATTTCGAAAATAATGGTTCTGTGCGGAATACGTATCGCGCACTACGTCCATTTTATCGTCGACAAAATCGTCCATCAGAGCATTTAATTCGATTAACCATGGAACATTTTCGGACCACGTTTACTCTAATGGATAACTCGCATCCTCAGAGATAACGTACGGTGCGTACAGAAGCAGCTATTGCTACTGTAGAGCGTAGCATTGAGGATGACCCGAATGAATCCAT